TTTTTTTTTTGCGAATTCTCATTATGGAAATATAAATATAAGCAATAAACTGCATAGATGTGGCAGACCAACTGGTATAACTGCCACATGTGTCACAGACAAACTGAATGGTGCGCGCTAGCGCACCATGATAAGTTTGTCTGTGACACATGTGGCAGTTATACCAGTTGGTCTGCCACATCTATGCAGTTTATTGCTTATATTTATATTTCCATAATGAGAATTCGCAAAAAAAAAATGTCTTTTCCAAATTTCCCGCTTATTACCGTCAGGTCAGGTTAGTATCTAGAACGGCACAAAGATAACAGCTGACGTCATGCGCTATTTCCCATACAAAATTAAAAAGACTCCGCAACTTTCGTTCATAATTCATTTGAATTTGATTTTTATATATATCATATTCTCGATTCATAAATAGTAACAAATGACATTTTGTAAGCAACTATTCAAGTTTCGTAAAACATTTTCCTATTTTATTGCGACCTATATCCGGCGCACGCACTCAACGGAAGCCCGCAGTAATCAGGTCAGAGTTATATTTGCGGTCCGGCATGTTGTTGATGTTGATCGTGCAACCGGAGAAGGTTGAATTGGTGAAAAATTGTTTGTTGATCTCACAGACACTTGAGACAGGCAGCTGGTGTTAGGGATCAAAGCAGAAGATACCGATAAGTTCGGTAGTGACACTGTTAAGTCGCTCGGAGGTGCAAAGACCAACTTCAGTTATAGTCTCATAAGATGAAGCTGCTATTGGCAGTTCTTTAGTAGTAATATAGAAGGGCTTTGCCACACCAAATGTAAATATTGACAAAACAACAACAACGACAACAACAAAGAACACTCATGATGATGACCATACAACTGGTCCACAGTTAGTCTCAATCAAACTGAGTCTTTAAAAAGCCTATTGTGTAAGTTTGTCGGTCAGCAGTCGACATCTTTCACTTTTTCTTAATGATTTAGAAGATTTTATGAAATCACGTGACTGTAAAGGTCTGTCTAAAATAACGACCAGCTAGAAGAGGATTTACATGTATATATGAAGCTTTATGTTATGCTATACGCTGATGACACTATACTACTATCAGACACGGCAGAGGATTTGCAAAAGCAATTAGATGTATTTTTCGAATATTCCAACCTATGGCATCTAAGCCAATATCAGCAAATCTAAACTCATGGTATTTGGTAGAAAAAGAATTCCTGATGGCCTTAATTTTACATACAACGGTACTGTTATAGGAAAAGCTAAGAATTTTAAATATCTTAAGGTTTATTTTACTAAAACTGGTTTGACACAGTTCAATATTAAACAACTGTATGGTAAAGGTTTAAAAGCAATGTATGGTGCTATTTCCAAATGTAGGGATCATAATTTGTCAATAGATTGTCAACTTGATATATTTGACAAAGCCATCAAACCTATTGTTTTATATAGATTTGAAGTTTGGGGTTTCTGTAACTATAAACTTATCGAACGTTTACATTTAAAATTTTGCAAACACATACTTAATGTTAAAACGTCTACACCGAACTTTATGATATACTGAGAACTTTGAAGGTTTCCGCTAGATATTAATGTCAAAGTAAGAATGGTCGGATTTTGGGCTAAATTGACAAAAAACAACCAGAATAATTAAGTAATAAACTGTTAGCAATTTTATCAAATTATGAATCATCATGGCTAAGATATATGAAAAGTATTTTTGAAGAATGCAGTCTGATATATATATTTAATAGTCAAGAGTTTCGAAGTATACATGGGCTAAAAAGTACCATATTTTATAAACTAAAAGAAAAATTTATATTAAACTGGAGAAATGAAATTTATACTTCTCCGAAAGGAACCTATTATAGAATATTTAAGTTCGAACTTTGTTTAGAAAAGTACTTACTAGAAATCCCTCCGAAACTAGCCAAAGCGTATAGTAAGTTTAGAACATGAAACACTAAGTTACCAATTGAAAGTGGTAGGTGGTTCAATATACCACGTGAAAAAAGATTATGTAGTTTATGTTATTTAAGAGAAATTGCCGACGAATTTCATTATCTGTTTACATGTACACATCAACCAATTCTTAATAGTAGGCGAAAACATATATTAGATATTATTATGAAAGACCAAACACATTTAAATATCATACATTATTCAATTATGTAACACAACATGAATTGACATCATTGGCTAAATGTATTACCAATATTAATGACATAATTAATTTATAATACTAATGTCCATCCTGTTCCACCATGTATTATTGCCACCCATTTATATATATGTATTCACTACACTGTATTGTTTATGAGAATAAAACAATTGTCATTGTCACGGACGTCATGCTTTTCACGAACCCGCTAGTTATATGCAATATTACATTTACTGTTCTTGTTCTTTTATCAACGTATAGAAACCTCGTTAGACTAGACAATCATTTTTATTCGAAAAATGAGACATTTCAAGTTAATGTTCATACACAATTACAGGGAGCAGTACTCAAACTTCCGGTGTTTTTGTTTCTTTATTTTCATGACCTCAATATTCTGTCGTATTTCCTATTTAATGTTATTTTCCAAAAATGAGGAATTTTCCATGTTTAAATTCTCATATGGTTACTATGAAGAGTATTTGCGCATGATCGACATCTATCGATATCATCATGTCAAAAGGATTTTTCTAATTTATAATTTCTGTGTTTAAAAAATAGGATTATTGTGACATTTGTGCTGGTTTCCGTTTCAGGCACGTGACACCTACCAACAGGCTGTAAGTATTGGGCAGACGGCTGTGTTACTAGAGGAACACGACGATACAGATGATATCTTTGTGTGTCGCCTTGGAAACCTTCCACCCAATGAGAAAGCCCTGCTGAAGATTTGTTATGTATCTGAACTCCCGCATGACCCGAATGGTGCTCTAAGGTTCACACTGCCGACTGTACTCAATCCGCGATATGGGGCAGAACACAACACGGGTAAGTGTTTAATCGTGTACCGACCGTACTCAATCCGCGATATGGGGCAGAACACAACGCGGGTAAGTGTTTAATCGTGTACCGCCCGTCCTCAATCTGTGATACGTGACAGAACACAACGGGGAAGTGTTTAATCGTGTACTGACCGAACTCAATCCGTGATACGTGACAGACCACAACGGGTAAGTGTTTAATCGTGTACCGACCGTACTCAATCCGCGATATGGGGCAGAACACAACACTGGTAAGTGTCAAATCGTGTACCGACGTACTCAATCCGTGATACGTGACAGAACACAACGGGTAAGTGTTTAATCGTGTACCGACCGTACTCAATCCGTGATACGTGGCAAAACACAACGGGTAAGTGTTTAATCGTGTACTGACCGTACTCAATCCGTGATACGTGACAGAACACAACCAAGGCACGTGTTTAATCGTGAACCGACCGTACTCAATCCGTGATTCGTGACAGAACACAACCAAGGCACGTGTTTAATCGTGAACCGACCGTACTCAATCCGTGATACAGGATAGAACACAACACTGGTAAGTTTTAAATCGTGTACCGACCGTACTCAATCTGTGATACGTGACAGAACACAACGGGTAAGTGTTTAATCGTGTACCGTCCGTACTCAATCCGTGATACAGGATAGAACACAACACTGGTAAGTGTTAATTCGTGTACCGACCGTACTCAATCCGTAATACGTGACAGAACACAACGGGTAAGTGTTTAATCGTGTACCGACCGTACTCAATCCGTGATACATGACAGAACACAACCAAGGCTCGTGTTAAATCGTGTACTGACCGTACTCAATCCGTGATACGAGACAGAACACAACCAAGGCACGTGTTTAATCGGGTACCGACCGTACTCAATCCGTGATACATGACAGAACACAACCAAGGCTCGTGTTAAATCGTGTACTGACCGTACTCAATCCGTGATACGAGACAGAACACAACCAAGGCACGTGTTTAAGCGTGTACCGACTGTTTAATCTGTGAAACGGGATAGTACACAACGGATAAGTGTTTAATCGTGTACCGACCGTACTCAATCTGTGATACATGACAGAACACAACCAAGGCTCGTGTTAAATCGTGTACTGACCGTACTCAATCCGTGATACGAGACAGAACACAACCAAGGCACGTGTTTAAGCGTGTACCGACTGTTTAATCTGTGAAACTGGCTAGAACACAACGGGTAAGTGTTTAATCGTGTACTGACCGTACTCAATCCGTGATACGAGACAGAACACAACCAAGGCACGTGTTTAATCGGGTACCGACTGTTTAATCTGTGAAACAGGATAGAACACAAGACAGGTAAGTGTTTAATCACATACTGACCGTTCAATCTGTGATACGTGACAGAACACAATCAAGGCAAGTGTTTAATCGTGAACCGACCGTACTCAATCCGTGATACGTGGCAAAACACAACGGGTAAGTGTTTAATCGTGTCCCGACCGTACTCAATCCGTGATACGTGACCGAAAAAAACACAGGTAAGTGTTTAATCGTGTACCGCCCGTACTCAATCCGTGATACGTGACAGAACGCAACCAAGGCACGTGTTTAATCGTGTACCGACCGTCCTCAATCTGTGATACGTGACAGAACACAACACAGGTAAGTGTTTAATCGTGTACCGCCCGTACTCAATCCGTGATACGTGGCAAAACACAACGGGTAAGTGTTTAATCGTGTACCGTCCGTACTCAATCTGTGATACGTGACAGAGCACAACCAAGGCACGTGTTTAATCGTGAACCGACCGTACTCAATCCGTGATACGTGGCAAAACACAACGGGTAAGTGTTTAATCGTGTACCGTCCGTACTCAATCTGTGATACGTGACAGAGCACAACCAAGGCACGTGTTTAATCGTGAACCGACCGTACTCAATCCGTGATTCGTGACAGAACACAACCAAGGCACGTGTTTAATCGGGTACCGACTGTTTAATCTGTGAAACAGGGTAGAACACAACACAGGTAAGTGTTTAATCGTGTACCGCCCGTACTCAATCCGTGATACGTGGCAAAACACAACGGGTAAGTGTTTAATCGTGTACCGTCCGTACTCAATCCGTGATACAGGATAGAACACAACACTGGTAAGTTTTAAATCGTGTACCGACCGTACTCAATCTGTGATACGGGACAGAACACAATACATGTAAGTGTATAATCACGTACCAACAGTACTCTATCCGTAATACGTGACAGAACACAACACAGGTAAGTGTTTAATCACGTACTGACCGTTCAATCTGTGATGCAGGATAGAACACATCACAGGTAAGTGTTTAATCAAATACTGACCGTTCAATCTGTGATATGGGATAGAACACAATAAATGAAAGAGTCTAATCGAGTACCGACCGTTCTCAATCTGTGATACGTGACAGAACACAACACAGGAAAGTGTTAAATCACATACTGACCGTTCAATCTGTGATACAGGATAGAACACATCACAGGTAAGTGTTTAATCACGTACCGACCGTACTCAATACGTGATACAGGATAGAATACAACCCAGGTAAGTGTTTAATCAAATACTGACCGTTCAATCTGTGATACGGGATAGAAAACAATACACGAAAGTGTCTAACCGTGTACCGACCGTACTCAATCCGTGATACGTGACAGAACACAACGGGTAAGTGTTTAATCGTGTACTGACCGTACTCAATTTGTGATACGGGACAGAACACAATACATGTAAGTGTATAATCACGTACCAACAGTACTCTATCCGTAATACGTGACAGAACACAACACAGGTAAGTGTTTAATCGTGTACCGACCGTACTCAATCCAAGATACAGGACAAAAACACAACACAGGTAAATGTTTAATTGTGTACCAACTGTACTCAATCCGTGAGACGGGACTCAACACACCACAGGTAAGTGTACATCTCTTGCTCCCATGTAGATGTTTGCTCCGATGAGAGTGGACGAGAAACTCTCAGATTATCGTATACAAAAGAGATAAAACAATATTCAATTTTTGCGTCTTATTTCTTTCATGATCCATATGTATATATTTCTAAATGATCTTAATCCATCCTAACATGGAGAGAACAATTTTCAGAAGGTGACGAATCCATCATCTCGTCGGTCATAAAATGAAGACACATGATTTGCAGACCTTGCTTCCTACCAAAACATTTTGCCAAGAAAAGACTTCGAAAAGTTTAATGCTTTGGCAAAAAAAAAAAGCAAGGTAGATAACCTAAGCACAGGTTTCAGAATTATATTTGAACAAATATTTCTGAAAATTTTGGGAAAAAAGTTTAAAATAGACGTTTAAAATAGTTAATTCGAATTTGTAAGTTCCTAAATATAATATGAAATTCAAACATTGAAAAGCGGAAATAAAATACATGAGTCAACAACTTTTGATAAAATATTTCGTGAGTTTTGAATCCTTTCTTTGTTATCCTGTTCAGACAATATGTACGCCCTATATATTTTTTATCGGATCATTCTTGGAATTGTTCTTTTCTAGGACCGGTCAATACCCGAACAGATGTCGTCTGCATCAATCCCGGAAGTTACGCAATGAGTCTAGATATTACCGTGCAGAGCCAGCAAAAAATCTCAAGCATCGTTTCGGAGAAAGACCAGTTACAACTGTCCCCTGGCAATAACGACCATGTGTGGAAAGTGTGTGAACATATTAACCTGCTTACTATAGCATTGACTTATTTGATATAACAGGATAGCTCATTTAATTGACATAACATCATCTGAAGGTTCAGTGTGCGTCTCCTTTGTGGATGAAACAAGAAGACTAGTTTGATCCTCTGTTGTACATCAACAGAATATGTCGCTCGCGTAACGGAAACGTTGACTGGCTTTGAAGTCGGGTGTCGCTTCTCTGTAATATTCAAAGGACTAGTATCAGCCTAACGGTTGGTCAGGTTTTTTACCGGGTAAAAATATCTGACCAATCGTTAGGCTGATACCGTTTTGGTCTTTACAAATCATTTACAAAGCTAGATTTACATGGAGTCTATTTTTGTATTCAGCACATAGATATTGAAACAAAGGTCAAATTTTGGGTGATTTTTTTATATTTATAATGTAGTTTTAAAAACATACCTATGTGTAAGTGTGTTGTACATGATGAAACCACTATCCATATACATATGACAAACATGCCCTTTGTTTTTAGGGCAAATCATTTCTACTGTTCACTGCGACCTCAACATAGTGCCATGATATTTTTTCTATATACAGAATTTCGTATATTTGTGGATTTTATGGGTATTCTGGTGACGCAGTGGGTAGCGCACTCGACTTTCACAAAGATCGTCGGGGTTCGATTCCCATATCGGCCGTGAATAGGAATTGGTTTTCTGCAGGTACTCCGGCTCCTTCCCACATCAAAACCCCTTGCGCGCTTTCACCCGTCTAGCAAGAGTGATTTACATTAGATGTTATAATTTGTGTCACAATTATTGTAAAATTATTTAAATATATATTTACGCTGAGTTTTCTATCCTCAGGCTATATTTACGCTGATTTTGCTATCCACAGGCTATATTTAGGCTGATTTTTCTATCCTCAGGCTATATTTACGCTGATTTTTTCTATCCTCAGGCTATATTTACGCTGATTTTGCTATCCACAGGCTATATTTACGCTGATTTTTCTATCCTCAGGCTAGTATCCGGTTTAATGGAGGTACCCAACTTGATCATGATATTTCCATAATGATTTTGTACCAGGATATGCACCAACCGCAAGCTATATTGGAACGAGGGACCAGAAGTCCAGGTAAATTGCAAAAGACGAACCACAGGTAGTTATCTTTTATTTATTTTCGACACGCCATTTATAATATCCACTGATACATAATACCTATGGTCGTCATAAAAAAGGAAGAAATCGAGAGGAATCTTAGTGGTAAAGTATATGTAGGCGTTAAGGGTGGATCTACTCTTCGGTTGGCTATCTTTGAAAATCAATATCACGCCATACAATGCAATCTGATTGTGCACGTGCCATGTACCTGTATACATCTTATTACATATCCTTGTTATGAGAAGTTTATAGAGAATATACTTGACTTAGTTTATTCTGAACACAGGCATATCTTCCTCAATATTTAGATCAGTATAGTTGTTTGGCTCTATGCGATCTCTCCGTGTTTATGGTCACGTGTGATCGTTGTGAGATTTCGGTGAAATGGCTCTGTGTGACGTTTCCGATTTAATACTCATGTAGGACACTCCTATTGGACACTACCGAATGACATTTCTGTCAACACGGTTAAAAACGCACAGCTTGTGAAATGAAGACATAAGGGCATCACGTGATTAATGACAGCGCTCAAAGAACAGCCTTATTCAAATGATAGATTATCTAGGTCACCTTGCTTATCAAAGGCGAATGGACACTGAGGTATACACGGAAAGACTTTCATTACATTTTACTTGGCAGAATAGATATAATCAACATATGATGTTTGTATATTAAGGTGGAATATATATAACTAGGGATTCGAAAAGGCGTCAACCGGCCTTCGTTAATTGATTTGTCCAACATTTTCTTACCCTCGTAATATTGTCCACCATAATACACGCACATGCGTTGATTTTGTCTAAAATAAACAATTTTCACAACAATATATTTAAAGTTACTTTTTTTCTCAAGACAAAGGGATGCTTAACATGGACGTGTTGATGCTCAGCTTCTATCCGGAGATCGACTCTAAGTTCACAAGAACGTGTGGAGAATTTATTTTCATCATCGACAGGTCAGGTAAGTTTGCAAAACCTGTTAATAAATTCTATCAGTTTTACTTGGAGAATAACTTGAAATAATTATAGAGGAAGAGAAAAGTTCTCTAATTTGACACCCGGATATATCTATCTGCTTTCAGATCTGTCCTTGACATATATAGACGGTCGTCATCTGTATTATATCAGTAATACTGAGATTTTTCCCACGGAAAAATGTGTGAATGTGAAGCGTACAACTATGCAAATGACTTTATAAAGATGTGTGTGTGTTTATTTAGAATTGTACAAGAATGTTTTTAACTATTGTTACAGACGGTACAAGAATGTTTTTAACTATTGTAACAGACGGAACAAGAATGTTTTTAACTATTGTAACAGACGGAACAAGAATGTTTTTAACTATTTTTACAGACGGTACAAGAATGTTCTAAACTATTGTTACAGACGGTACAAGAATGCTTTTAACTATTGTTACAGACGGAACGAAAATGTTTTTAACTATTGTTACAGACGGAACAAGAATGTTTTTAACTATTGGTACAGACGGTACAAGAATGTTTTTACCTATTGTTACAGACGGTACAAAAATGTTTTTAACTATTGTTACAGACTGTACAAGAATGTTTTTAACTATTGTTCCAGACGGTACAAGAATGTTTTTAACTATTGTAACAGACGGAACAAGAATGTTTTTAACTATTGTTATAGACGGTACAAGAATGTTTTTAAATATTGTTATAGACGGTACAAGAATGTTTTTAAATATTGTTATAGACGGTACAAGAATGTTTTTTACTATTGTTACAGACGGTACAAAAATGTTTTAAACTATTGTTACAGACGGTAGAAGAATGTGTGTAACTATTGTTACAGACGGTACGAAAATGTTTTTAACTATTGTTACAGACGGAACAAGAATGTTTTTAACTATTGTAACAGACGGAACAAGAATGTTTTTAACTATTTTTACAGACGGTACAAGAATGTTCTAAACTATTGTTACAGACGGTAGAAGAATGTGTGTAACTATTGTTACAGACGGTACAATAATGTTTTTAACTATTGTTACAGACTGTACAAGAATGTTTTTAACTATTGTTCCAGACGGTACAAGAATGTTTTAAACTATTGTTACAGACGGAACAAGAATGTTTTTAACTATTGTTACAGACGGTACAATAATGTTTTTAACTATTGTTACAGACGGAACAAGAATATTTTTAACTATTGTTATAGACGGTACAAGAATGTTTTTAACTATTGTAACAGACGGAACAAGAATGTTTTTAACTATTGTTACAGACTGTACAAGAATGTTTTTAACTATTGTTATAGACGGTACAAGAATGTTTTAAATTATTGTTACAGACGGTACGAAAATGTTTTTAACTATTGTTACAGACGGTACAAGAATGTTGCAATCTGTCAATGTTTGGAAATATATTGTGATGAAATCATTTGTTCCCAGCACTCATTTTTAATAATTACGATAATATTTCAAAAATTAAGATAATGAATTTGGAATTTATAGTTTCTGTATGTCATATGTTATGGAATGAAAACGTAGGGAAGTAAGATTTCAAAAGAAATGCTGCCACTGTCTCTCAGGCAGAATAGTGTATGATAATATAGTACTGGTCAACCATGATGTACAGTGTCACACCTCCCAGTATATTAGCCATATTGCTTTACGAAAAGGTAATTCCCTTTTAGAACAAAACTTTGATTGTTCTCCCTTGATTTATCCCTTAACCCCTATGTATTGCAAACAATAATTGGACAAATGTTGGAATTATAAAGACCGAGAAATGTACACAGGTTACTGCACCTTTAAGAATCAGGTTATGTATACTGTCTGCCAGATCGACTTACACTATATCGTACAGCTGTGTCGTCCTTTATTTCACTGCAAAGGCGTTTTAAATGTGATATTTCCGGCAAATTATCTTTAAGAATTTTCCAGTTTAAATGCAAACGCAATTTCTTATATAACTAATAATGTTATAAATATAATTTTGAAAGTGAAAACAAATATTATTGATAAGTTTCCGCCATATAAGGGGGAAATATAACTGTGATATCTTCGCTAACTGCATTGTATGATTATAACAAGCAATCATATATCCCATCACAATGTCATTTCTGATGGATCGAGCAATCTTCTACGGTTCAGGAAAATGCAATTAACAGAAATTTTAAGGGTTCTTCGTTGAATATCATCAAACGTTGTACGCGCATTTAATATCAAGGTTACATTTTCTCCCTCCCCGCACTCGTTAAAACATCCGAAAAATATGCTACATTCGTGAATTACCAGGTAACGGTGAATTTGTTAATATGCTTTATTTATTAAGGCAATACGAAAAACAAAAAGGTATTGGTATTCCTGCTGTGATTGGATAACGTTGAATCCCAGACCTGATTAAACAATACGATACAGAAAGTTCGAATGCTCTTTAAGGTAGTAGTGCGTACATCAATATAAAAAAAGAAATTCCGAATAATAGGAGCATTTCGGAACATAAAACTCATTTGGTGTATAGAAATTAGAGGAAGAAAATAACTTCCCTGAGATATTTTAATTAAGGATAGAGTATTTTAAGATAAAGAGTAACATGTATTGTGTACGACAGTACAACGTCTATAAGACTCTTAGCAATGCAAAAATATTTGATACAGAGTACGACTAAAAATCTGATATAATATTTCTAATGTTATATTTCAGGTAGTATGGCCAATGACAATAGGATAGAGAGCGCACGGGATACCCTTCTCCTGATGATCAAGAGTCTCCCTGTTGGATGTTTTTTCAACGTTTATAGCTTTGGGAACTACTTTCACATCCTCTTCGACAAGTGAGTACGCCTCCGTTCGCAGCTGTAAAGCATCTTATTAACAGGTCCTTAAACATAGTTGTTTATCCTAGATATGAGTTTTTGAAGAAAAAATACATAAAATTATTCCATGCATTGCGTTAAATATCTCAACAGCAATAAAAAGGATGTTTTCTTCTGTTAAACCTGTTGTTTAATTAAAAGTCAATGGTTACAGAGATTCCGCCTGCAGTGTGCAGTATAATGAGCAGAGTATGACGTACGCCCTGGACTATGTACAGAAAATGGAAGCAGATATGGGCGGTACAGAGATACTGAAACCATTGGAGGATATGTATTCAAAGCCCTGCCTCCCCGGTCATCCCCGACAGGTACATATTACTACAAACCGCGTCTAACAATTCCAAATACCAAATTCAGGAATATGCATTTCAAAAGCCGCTGCATCCCGTGCCCTTTCTGACGGATAACCAACATTTGATACATCTTGTCATGAGGAGGTCGCTGGCAATATTCTAATATATATATTTTTTATATTAGATACTAGTATTGCAGTGTCTCTGGTAATAAAAGGAGCGTCGGATTAAATGACCAAATATTACGACATATAGATATAATTTGTTTAGTTAATGTATTTGCAGTTAAGGCTGTTGGCACATTACTTGATAACAAGGAGTTGGTTTCAACAGCCGAATTAGGCAAGTATGGCATGTTTTGTTGTATTAAAGGTGATCCTGTTGACGGATGGAGAAGTATGGAATGTCACTGATTGTCTGAATCTCGTCCGGAGGAACGCCCAAACTACCAGGTTAGAATCCTCTACAGTTATCGTTTTATTTGTTTAAGTCGGTGGGTGAAATCAGCCCTCACTAACACGATATTTAATTTTATGACACAGTGGTTAGTGTGTGCGACTCAATAGAATACAGAATAGATACAGAGAGGAGTTAATTATGTGATGGCCTTTTTCACGACTACCAACTACCATCAGTCCCATTTGTCATGAATAATACCCCTGTCGTCTTCATCGAAATGCCAGTGGAGCTAAAATATAAACAGACGCTCTTCTCCATGGAGTGTTGTTGTGTTATTGTTGTAAACACGCAGGAGATAATGAAACAAATTCATCTACTTTTTAATTCAGAGAACAAAAAAGTCGTCATATTTATATCGTTTGATTGACTTGTGTGTTACTTTCCTATCTAATATCACCTCAGGATGTTTTCCGTGGGAATCGGCGAAGGTGTGTCGACAGCATTGGTAAAAGGACTAGCCAAAGCAGGGAAAGGCCGTGCTGAGTTTGTTAAGGGAAACGACAGATTGCAGACAAAGGTATAACTTGTCACACTGACTTTGTAAAAGTTAACAATATGTTCTTCGGATGTCGTTTCTCACGACATATTTGTGAAGAAGTATATTTGGAAAGAGAATAAAACTACGTATACCTCTTTGTGCCAAAAATGATTGCTGTACTTGAGCATCTTGTGTGATCTAGGCTTTGCCTGTTGCCCAATTCCTTTGTATCTAAGATCTGAACAATAAATATTCTGAAATGAAAATCTAGAAAGGCTTATTATTCGGCAGGATATTAGCTTGTATAGATCATAGTTAACTATATGTACCCTGGTCAATCCGTTGTTATAGAGGACAAGGCTAACTATTTGAGTTAGAGCACTGAGTCATTGAGTGTTCAGTCATTAAATGTCTGAAGAAATATTGCTTCCAAAGGAGTTATTGTTGTTATTAAAGAAGAAGAGGAATAGAAAAAGAAAAAAAAATCATATATACTTCAATAATCATTTAGATAATAGCAACAGCTGATTATTTTCTTAGAGAAAATCTGATACAGAAGTGTCAACCATACTTCACTTTGAACTCCAAAGTGATTAAACTAGGGCAAAATACGAACATATGAAAAATTTATATGGGGACTCTTGAAAAAGTGTAAGTGGAATCAGAATGGTAAACGTCTTCTAATCATCAACCACACATGCAATGTGAATCTAGGTCAAATACAAGCAATATCAAGTCAACCAAGCAAGAACCTAATTAACAAATATAACATAACATACCACACAAAGAAATAGCATATTTCCCTTGAGAAAATGAGATGAGATATATTGAGATGATTACGAGATTAGGTTTATTTCCATAAACCTCAATATATTGTCCAGTTACTCAGTCATTTTCAGACTTTCATTGAATTTAACCAAAAACGTACTAAAGAACACATGGCCTCTACAAGTATGGGGTTCTAAAGGTTACCAGTTGTGTAATCACGTAATTGCTCAATCATAATGATGTGTTTATTGTTCACTTCCGGTTACAGGTGGTTTCACTTCTAAAGAGTGCCATGCAATCAGTGGTTACCAACATACAGGTTGATTTAGAACTTCCGCCGGAAGTGACTGGATCGATAGTCCCAAACGATTGTCCTTCGTTATTCAGCGGAGAGGAATTTATTATGTACGCGGTGTTGAAAGGATCAGAGTCGATGGTAAGTGACACTGCTGGTCACTTTTGTTTCAATATTTTCAAATATGTTCATTAACGACTTCAAATCTTATCTTATATTATTTAAAACTACATTCATTAAATTCTTAACATTGGGAGGTTAATAAAATAAGCATAAAATGTCTATGTTTTTTTGTTTTTTTTTGAAAAATGAATTGATAATTATTTTCATATGTAGCGATAATCCACTGATAATTCCACTGATAATGCAATGGAATACTAATTTCAATTATAATATACCATTTTTTTATAATTCAAATATGTAGGCATATTTTTTCTTGTATGTTAGTTTATGAAACTTTCAGTTTACATAAACACAGAAAGACAGACATATCGAAAACTGCCACAAAAAGGGAATCTGTCATTTAATTAAATGTTTAAAAAGATGTCGTCGCTTTTGTAACAAAATACATTATTCCGAGTAGAAGTAACGTTATAGCTCGGTTAATGTGATAACTTCTCAGTTGATTGGCAAATAAAAAAACCCACAAAAGTTGCAGAGTAAGGTTTTATATTACAGGAAAGCATACAAGGGAACATCATTTTACGAGGTGTCATTGAAAATCAGATTTTTGAGCACAAACTAGCTTTCCAGGGACAACATCAACAACAAAATCTGGATACGTCACTTCCTGTTCACAGGCTCACAGCCAAAGCTCTCATACAGGAGCTTGAAGATGAAGAATCAGCGACACGTAAGTTTTTTTGTATCCTTCAATATGTCCTCCAATAAATAGCATAGCTATATATCTTTATCTCAACGATATCAGTAATATTTGCTGTTTAAATTGAAAAAAATGTGTATGTTATATATAGTTAAGATTTAAGTGCGTTCAATTACAGATGACGTATGTTCATACTGCCTTTAACTCAAATCACTCATATCGAAAAAAGAAATGATTTTCTTTAATGAGATAAACTCATGGATCGGCAAAAATCAACATGCTACTATTGGGTTATCAGTATACCCCCCGCAACGAAGTTAGGGGGTATACTGGAATCAGCTTGTCAGTCCGTCCGATCGTCTGTTCGTAGAAAAAATTTGTCCTGTCAACTGCTTCTAAAGTTTTGCATCGATTTCAACGAAACTTTCCAGATATGATAACTACCACATGAAGTTGTGCATTGATTCTGTGCTCAGACCTACTTTCTTACCGCTGGCTTAAATTCATGTTACATGGTCAAAAAATGGTATTCAGCCCTAAGACTCCCAAATTCTTGCAGGTCATTTATATAATATAATTATTCAAAAATGTATCACTGGAATAAGAAATTGGGCTACAGCACAAAAACTTCCTATGATATTTTCATTCTATCCCTTTTTTAAAGTTATGGCCCTTTGTTGCAAAATCCTTGTCCGGACAACTCCTACAAATCTATGGGGCCGATTTCAACGAAAGTGTTTAGATATGCTAACTACTACCTAAATTTGTGCATCCATGTATTTTGTTCCAACCATTTTTTATGGAGTTATGGCCCTTTGTTGAAAAATCTTTGTCCTGACAAACTTCTCCTAATCTGCTGGTCCAATTTCAATGAAAGTTTCCAGATATGATACATTTGTAACTATCACCGGATGTTTTGCATCCAGGTATTATGTCTTCAATTCAACACTTTTTTACGGAGTAATGGCCCTTTGTTGAAAAATATTTCTCCAGACAACTCCTCCAAACATATGGGGCCGATTTCAACGAAAGTGTTTAGATATGCTAACTACTACCTAAATTTGTGCATCCATGTATTTTGTTCCAACCATTTTTTATGGAGTTATGGCCCTTTGTTGAAAAATCTTTGTCCTGACAAACTTCTCCTAATCTGCTGGTCCAATTTCAAAGAAAGTTTACAAATATGGCAACTGTCCCATTTTTAGGTCACCTGAGCTTTGCTCAAGTGACCTATTCTGATCGCATTTTGTCCGTCGTTGTCCGTCGTGCATCGTGCGTCGTCCGTTGTCCGTCGTGCGTCGTGCGTCGTCTTTCGTCCGTCGTGCGTAAACTTTTTACATTTTCAACCAGAAGATCAATTCCTATCCCAACCCCAGGGGCCAGGGTGGGGCCCCAAAGGGAAAAGTAACCAATATTTAAAAAATCTTCTTCTTGAGACCCAGATGTACTACAGTCAGTTTCTCTGCATGGTTAGAAAGATCATCAGGGGCTTTATAAAAATAGTAAATTACAGTTATCCCGTGTTATCCGTTCTCCCTTGGGGAGGAGTCAAGTTTACTATAGTTTATATAGGGAAATAACACTTTTTTGCATATTTTGTCAATTGTTACCTGGAAATTATTAATACTTGGTTAGAATGATTATGATGCCAGATGGCAATTAGATGGTAGAAGAAAATCAGATCCTGCCCCATCCCCAGGGGCTGGAACGGTGGGGCCCGAATGGGTTAAATGGTTAAAAAGTTCAAAAATCTTCTTCATCAGACTCAGATGTGTTACAAACAAATACTCTTCGTGGATAGAAAGATCCTTATGTGCATTACCGATTTGAAAAAAGATCAGTCCTTGTCCCAGGGGCTGGAGGGGTGGGGCCAAAAAGGGGAAAATGACTGATATTTAAAAAACCTCTGCACTCAGATGGTAGAAGACTCAAATTTCTTTTTTTGGATTGAAATGCCCTTGGTTCATTATATAAACTGTTAGTTATATTACCCTTTGGTCATCTGACTATATCTTGTCCTTTTTCAGCAAGAAATAATTCAAACTTGGTTGAAATAGTTATAATGAAATTGAAATCAAATAGTATCAGAAACTAATATCCTGTCCTACCCCAGAGGTTGGCCAGAGAGGGAAATTGGCTAAATAACAATAGATATTATATTTTTCAATAGCAAAATAATGTATTTGAATAGTTTTTAGAGTTCTTATCCTATGGTGACATGACAAGTATTGTGTTTCACTTTGTTAACATGTTGATTTCCACATCACATCTCAATAATGAAATTGAGCTACCAGTACCTATGCTATAACTAAGGTGACCGCTAAGACCATTGGGCCTCTTGTTTCTATTCCAAGTAATTACTTTTTCATTTCGACCCTTTTAAAAGGAGTTATGACCCTGTGTTGAAAAAACTTTTGTCTGCCTCCTAAATAATTTCAATGAAAGTTTACAAATATAGTAAATATCCCCTGATGTCGTGCATCAGGGTAGTATTTTTTTATTTCGATCCTTTTTAAGGGGTTATGGCCCTTTGTTAAAAATATTTGTCCTGACATCTCTTCCTTAATTACTATGACGATTTCAGCAAAACTCTTTCATCTAGGCTAACAAGATTTGGTTTGCAAGTATGTTTTGGCATTGAGAAGGAGTAAAGAAGTATGTAAGTGACATAAATACTTAAATAAGTGTAGAGCTCAGCCAATAAAAAAAATCATTACTGGTAGGAGGCTGATAGATTGCTTTGCAATGCTTTGCCTTAGTAAGCCTTTAGCTTACAGTTCTGGTTTATATTGGAGCGGGGGTACCAGTTAGCCGTTGACTTACAGGTCTAGATTTTTTACTAAACAACGTGATTTTAAAAAGATGTAATTACCAATTTAAACAGATCTATTTGACCTAATTGATTCATTGTAATAACTATATAATTACATCATTTATCAGGTGACATGAATCGGAAAGCCACTACTGACAACCAAAATAAGATTGTACTTGTGAGTACGGCCACAAATGTCATCTCAAAGTACACAGCCTTTGTCGGAGTTGACAAACTCAGCAAGGTGCTACTTCCACAGGTAAGTCTATATGAATCAATATTTTTTAAATGAACACAAACACTTATACGCGTAAAATTTGAACAAAACTAAACACAATATGAAACAATATAACTAAAGAAGTATTTGTTTTTATTAAATTATCATGTATAATATAAAAAAAAATGTAATTCTAGTAAAAAAAGATGATTCCTGAAACCGTCGACATGTGTTTGCATAAGTTATAAATTATAAATTATACATCTGTGATTTTACTTATCTGTCCTCGGTCTCACATGTAAATGTTCTTTGTTATGCAAAGTGATTCAAATCGACCGTTGATCTATGATCTAGATTTTACCATTTTTTACCAGTTGTTTCCGTTTTTTTAAAATTCATACTTGTTCGATACATATTGATTGTTTGCAGTTTTTCTATCTTAACCAGATATTGTGAGCGCCTGATAGCTTCGAGAACGAAATTTTACATCAGTATGAAAATACGTAGTTTACAGGGTGACCCCTGTGTTTTCTTACAACGTGTATATTTATTAATTATCTACAATTATACCATTCACCAGTCAGAGCATTCGAACATTGTCTAGTACAATGTACACTTTTTGTTTTACAGGGCGTTGTCGAAAGAAGAACACATCAAGGAGGATGGTTTGGAGCAAGTTCGGGTGGGGGCGGATTTGGAGCAAGTTCGGGTGGGGGCGGAATGTTTGGAGCAAGCTCGGGTCGGAGTGGAATGTTTGGAGCAAGTGTAACGGGGGGCCCGTCCTATGGATTATTTGGATGCAAACCAAGTCCCCAGTTTGGATCAAGCAATAGGCATGGTGGAATAACCCAGGCAATGTTCGGTTCGAAGCCTATAGACAATGCTAGATGCTTTGGCGGCATGTTCGGAGCAGCAGCATCTAAATCTAAAGTAATAATAGGAAGTTCAGGAAACATTGCGTCGAATTTGTTTGCAAAGCCTGCCCCCACCTCCTCAACATTTGGAGCACCCCAACAAACCTTTGCCGGATTTGGGGGGTCACTACAAAGCTCTGCCTCATTTGGAGCACAACAACAAAACTGCGGATCGTCTGGAGGACTTATGTTCGGTAGAGGTAAAATAGTTACTGTTTCCTGATAGAATTCTTACATAAAGTTGTTCTTATTTTTTACCAGTTCATGTTTTGCTTTTGAAATAATGCAGGCAACGGCTGTTCAAAACATTTAATAGCTTAAGGATCGAAAAAAGCTCCTGGTATGTATGTATAACAAATGTTGTTTTGGAGAAATGCTTCACTATGATAAATTTAACGCGCAGATTTTATGATTTAAAATGACATTTATTAACATCTTAGAGAAACAATAAAATAAAAAGAACGTTTTACTAGGAAAGGTAGTTTATAGTTCTTTCAAATTCAAGTTATTTGCAAAATTGAGCTGGCGCACAAAGATGCACAAAATATATAAGATATTCATAAAATTTATTTAGGAACACCTCTCCAGAATTCTGCTCCTCAGCCACTTTCTGAGAAAACGAAACTGGTCCTTATGCAAGGTTTCGACGGGTCTTGGGCACTGAGTGACGAATTTGCCAATTTCCTTGGGACTACAAGTGAGGGTCTTCAGCAGAGTTCACAAATTCAGGTACAGTAATGCACTGGTTCTTTATTTCGTACTTTCGTTTCATTATGAAAAAACAATTCATCTTGAATATAGTTTGCAAATATACTTATACGCAGAAAGGCAAGTGTGTACACATCAATTTTAAAACATATATTAGTTGAATGCCATAGAAACACAAGTGATGAAGGAAGACAATTTTAAGACTCACGCCCTGTCCGGGCCTTGAACTCACAATCGTTGGCGATTAATCGCCTAGCCTATAAATATCCACAGCTTCAACCAACCAATTCATCACCTAATCTTTTTAAAAACAAAATTTCGATGTTGAAGTGGTCAACAGCCTTCCCGACATGGTCAAAATGATAAATCATCTATTGATGATATGAGATCCTGGATCGCAATGTATGGATAACATTAGCCACGGTTCAATTACAACCGGGTATTTATATTGCATTGCTTGGCACCCAGACACGAACGCAAGTATGCTATTAGAATCGACTCTGGGGTCTGGCCCTACACCTACGAACTCGTTCTCTGGTCAAAACCTTTTCAATGGTTGTGATTCCAAACCCCTTCAAAACATATGCCATCGCTTGGCATCAAGAGACGAACACAGTCATGATATTAGAATTAAATATTGGATCTAGCTCCAGCCCGAGGGACTTAATTTGTGTGCCATAAGTTTGAAACGTTTAAGATCCCTATTCCATAGCCATATATACCATTACTGGGCACCCAGACCAAGGTGAGCGATAAGGCCCTCTGGACCTCTTGTTCATTATTTATTTTGTTTTATTTATCCTTTTTGAAACTCATTTATCAAGTGGTAAATCCGATAATGATTTTAGAAAAATGATATCCTTGGGAGCAGCTATATCGAAATTTGCATTTAAGATGCAGTGATTATTCACCATGTTCTCATGCCAACAATAAAATGTTCCATTTGACATATTCCGGGATATCTGCTACCACAGCTGACTTGATGTTGTGTTTTACGTTTCCTATATGCTTATTCACATCAATGTCCTTCACAATTCATACGTCTGTCAAAGTATTTACGGGAGGCATAAAGGCACGGAAAGCGCCAGTCCTAATTTTGGTTCCAATACCACTTGCTTAGATATCCTTAAATGTTTATTAAACTTTGTACATTTGTACAAATAAGTGTAGTAAAGCAAAGCTGGGCAAACTCTGCGTATAATTAACTTGCATACTATGCTCTGACTTCCAAATTAAAGCTTATATTTCAAGCTTTTATCAACGGAATTTTTATATTGCAATTATAGAAATCATATATTTAAATTTCTTTCAGAATCTAAATGCATGGGCGACCTGTCTTGCACTGGCATGGCTTCACCTGAAAGAATCGTTAAACAAAGAAGAGTGGTCGCTGATCGAAAGCAAGGCTCTTCAATGGCTACAACTTCAGGGTTTTACAGACGAAGATATGAAAAATCTGTTTGCACATGCGCAAAATCAAATTAAAAATATGTAAAATTGATTTCAAGAAGATTATGAGAAAGTTTAAATCTTTTACTAATATGTTGTGTATGAACAATAATTACACTTTGTCGCTAAGAAGCAGCTACACACAGACAAAAAGTAGTGTTTTTTTTTTTTGCCTTTTCGCTAATTATTTTATTTAAGGTTCATGGTACATGGTACCACTGCTTCAGCTATAATCACGAAGAAGAGTTCAACTATAGAACATTCTTCCTTTTATAAATAAGATGAAAAATCCTACGAAGGGAGTTTTATTGCTTAAAGTAAAATCCCCAGTCAAGTTATGATATCTTAATGTTCATTAATGTTCAAACAACTCCAACAACCAGGTGGAGTATACAATGGTCTGGGGTGGGTGTTGCGGTATCTGTGCTGTAGCATTCAAGTGAGGTAGCACTATAAACGATATCGTTGGAAGCACGGTCCCACTACAAACAGAACACAATACATCTCCAGCACACACACAGGCATACACACATAGGGAGATATTAGCCAGGTGGCATAGGAATAGTAGCGCCTGATAAGGCAGCTCCTGCGAATTCTGTATATTGTATTGATTACTATATATGCTAATCGTATTGACTGTATAAAAGTGTTTATCTATGTACTGTAAAGCGCTTTAGAGTGGCTTATGTTAGCTAGATATGGCGCTATATGAAATGTTGTATATTTTATTTATTTATTTATTGTATTCGTTTATATACTTTTGACTCTCACTTAGTGCTGTTCATTCATCATCCTGGATGGCTACATTAAAAAACTGTAGGGTTTGTAGTCAATCTGAAGGTCCTGAATACTTGTTTTGAAACGGACTTGAACCGATATATCACAACAGTAACAATTGTAACTATATAGCTTAACTTGTTGTTACCTTTGACCTTAACCTGGATTCCGGCTGTTTTTAACAATGTTGTCTTATTTTGATATTAGAACACCATGTAGTTCTTTGAGCAGTATCAATGAAAGTCTCTTTTATCTGTACATGCCATTAGTGAAATATCATTCAATTAGTTAATTTTGGCTATTTCTCAAAACTGCACTTCTCCAGTTCATTTCCTATAACCTAAAAAACAGCCAATACAAAAAGTGATGACGTCGTATACCGTAATGTTTGGCGCGATTGTTGTTTTTCTGAGTTCTGATTTGTTAAATTTGCTTGACGATGAAATATTCTGAACTATTAACTATAAGGTGTTATCGATTTTTTTTGTATTTCAAATATTTTACTTTTTCTGTGAGCCGTCATTTGAGTACTGCTTTAATGCTATTATTTTTTCTGATATACATATTGATGTATATCGTAAAACGATTAGCATGAGGGACGCAAATATATCAAGAAAATAATTTGTGTTATGTGATATCATTGTATATTTTATACAGGTCATCCACCATGGCAAGCTGGTAAGACAAATAATTAAATAAAACAAGGACACCAAATTTGAATTGAATATGGCCGTTTATTACAATAAACGACGGTTGTTATGACGTTCACATTTTGTCATATAAATAGACCCAAAAAGTCTTAGATGGGGGTCCTATTCCGCCATACACAATATAATTGATGCAATATTAATGCTAGTTGTAATACATAATTTTTACACACAAAATACATGATATAACATCGATACATTGCTTAACAATCGCATAAGAAAATGTTGTACACCAATACATAAAGTTATGCACATTCAGAAAATTCTAACAAGAAAGGAGGAAAGTAGGGGATGGTGGGGGGTAAAGGTTATCTTGTATATACTAAAATCTGTGATCAGATAAAACAATACAAAACTTACCAAGTTGAAATAAAATTGACCTTGACCGTACGAACCTTGTTCCGCCATCTTCTTTTATCAGCTTCTGAATAGGAGCTGCTGCGTCATTTGTATTTATAGTGATCTAATTTTAGCAACATATCAATGCGCGCATGTAACCTGTCGGACCGCATCACTCATACCCCAACATACCTCCTTCCGTAAATAAAAATAGTTATCTAAAAGCATGGAAGTCTGACTGCATAAATTACATTAAAACAAGTTTTAATTTGTATTTATACAGGACATCCACCATGGCAAGCTGGTGAGACAAATAATTAAATAAAACAAGGACACCAAATCTGAATTGAATATGGCTGTTTATTACAATAAACGACGGTGGTTATGACGTTCACATTTTGTCATATAAATAGACCCAAAAAGTCTTAGATGGGGGTCCTATTCCGCCACAATGATTACTGCAACACCAGGCTAATACATAAATAAAACGAGGTGCAGCAGATTCAACTCCATATATGTTAACAGATTTTTTACATTGTTGATTTTATTCTATTTAATATTGAATTTCTGAGTATTGTACCTTTTTATTTATTTTTCAATTACTATTTTTCAAATTACATTTGTCTTCGCTCAACTGATTAAATCTTCTTTCTACAGATGTTGAATTGGCTCGTTCTCGTTTCCCCCACTTTTTAAAATAACATGGGGGGGGGGGGAATAATGTTGTTAGAAGGATTATAGTCTGTTTCTAAGTAGTATGGGCAGTATTTACCTGTGTTGTTACCTGTGGTTAACTCTTCTATCTAAGGTGGTGTTTTATCATATTTAATTAAATAACACATTATATAAGTTTTTTCAGATTTGTAATGATAAATGTTAAAATAATTTAAATATTAATCATATATATAAATATATATTCAGTATTAAATATATCCATTTTGTAGTCCTTGTACATGTGCTGCTGATAAGATGATAAGATGAAATGTGTTATTTCATTTTCTAGTACTTTAAATATATATATATAACTATCTTTATTATTGTAACATTTAATAAGATGCCTATACTATGTACAAAATGTAAGAATGTAATGTGTGACTAAGAGTGTGGTGTTTAACAGCTAATTAATCAGTTAATTAATCAAAATTCCTAGATGTTATAAGTATCTTATAACTATCATAAAAATCATTGAACATCTCAGGGACAGTATATACGTCCCTGAACATCTATAATTATCCAAGCTATCATTTCCATCCATGTGAGCTAAAAGTGATCACGGCCTATGCTAATTCAATTCAATTCAATGTATTACCAAATGCACATTGCATATAGGCGTACAGAAATATACATATAGATAAATACTTTACAAATATCTTGTACAATGGCCGAGATCATATGCAATAGATTCAATTCCATACATTATATTTATAAATTAGGAAATTGTCATCAGTTTGGGAAAACTTAAGTGTTTTCCTAAGGTAACTTAGCGGACTCTTATGAAGCATAATTTAGTTGTTTATGAAATAATACAAATAAAGCCTTAATCTAACCAAATTTCTAGGAAATAACAAAACTTCAAAGTCAATCATACAACCTCAACATGAAGGTAGAACGAGTACTATATATTATATAATGAAATGTGTTTATACAACAAACATTTTGAAGATGTCTCGAATATGTTTCTCATTTCCTGAATAAAACTATCCTTTATGTGCTGTATATATAGTAATAAAAAAGATTTCTCATTTGGTACACATTGTGCCAACCACACATCTCCAAAACCCAACTCAGATGATAAACCCAATTTGCTTTACAATTTGGTTTCCTGTTATAAAGCTCTAAAAGTTCATCGTAACAGGCCCTCAAAATATAGTTATTAGTTTTTAATATTTGCAGACAGTACTTTACAATAGCAATCCTACGCTGTATATGCAAAGCGTAAAGACCAAGTTCAAAATACACCATGGCATTATTTACTGTTTTCCTGACACCCAATACGGTTTTCAAACATAATAAATGTATATTTTCAATCTGCGGTGCAGGACTATAACCCTATACTTCACACCCGTAATTCCCATTACATGATATATAAGTATCAAATAAAGATAACATCTCTTACATTTGGGATAGATAATAACATCTGCCTCTTGGCTTTTGGACTTGAACTTTACATTGGAGATATGATATACATTTGAAGGGGGGTCAACTTGAGATTGCTATTACTAAACTTTACTATTCTTAATATGTGAATATTGGTAATGTATTTTAAAATTGTAATATATTGTGAACTCTTATGTAGTGCTGTTATATTCTATATTATCTGTTTAATAGTGTAATGTAAATATTTGACTGTAAACTCTACATAAATTATGTATAAGTATAAAAATATATCGATTACATATAAAGATATTTGACCCTCAAAAAAGTATTAAAACCTTATTTTTACCAAACAAAGCTACAAGTCACAAGGTTACTTTCACACAGGTAAGTTACCTGTGGGTAAGTATGAAACAGACTATAATTGGTTTGCCATTGTCTTCCTAAATCAACAATTTCCTTTGTTATATAAAAAGTGGGGGAAACGAGAACACCCCGTTAAATTTACCCATTGAATATAACGACGTTTGAAGAACACTCGTCAACAAAGGGTTGGTAATTTACCATTCAAAGGTACTCAATGGAACTGGAGGGGACCGGGGACCCGGGACCTGGGACCGGGGGACTGGGTAGGGGGCAGGAGGAGGGGGCAAATTGGATACTAATAGTCCATCTGTCATTTAAAAAACCACTTGCAATCTTTGGTTATTTGATAGCTCCTCATTGTCTGTCTGTTGGTTAATTCGAGTGAGTTCTTAAATACGTATTCGCGGTTGAACACTTGAACTAACTGTACGAGACATCTCTAATATTAATTCACAGAAAAAAAACGATTCTTTATACAAAAAAAGGTATTTTGAATTATCCTATATTTGAAAAAAAGAAACATTTATCTATAGTGATCACATTCCAAACATTTTTATTTTTATTTTGATATGCCCTAATATACGTTTGTATGAACACATTATGTTGACTTTTACTGTAATGAAGTCACTTCATGTTTTATGCCTTCTTGTTGTGTATAAATGTTATTCAAGTTTTTATACAAGTTGATATCACCGCACGGCGTATAAAGAGCGATGTAATTATATAACTGTGTTACAAAATTACACCGTAATGTGAATATATATGTTTAAATCTTAAAATGATTTGTTCTGTATAACCAAAAGGTCCAGGGTAATGATATTTTGCTAGAAGCATGCTGGGTTTGAAGACTATAAACTCTGTTCAACCTAATGTCCTTGTTCGACATTCAAGGTTACGGGCGTCATATGTTTAAATCTTTTAATAAGTTTGTATGAGTCAAACACTGATATTCTGCCTGTAGTTGTATTTCAGTCCACTTTAAAGATTACAAGTGTGAGATAAAACCAGATGAGCGATTCAGGCCCATTTGGCCTCTTGTTTCATTTTTGTTCAATGCTTTTCCTTTATTATGTACCTGTACATATACGATTCTCGGCGATATTATACATTCAATAGCTTGCTAATATTTTCACCTCTAAATGTTTTGTTAACGATTTA